CGCAAGACAGTTGTAACAGCTGCTATTTTAGGCTCGTTTCCCACGCTCAAGTGGTGTCGAGTAGGTACCAAATACAATACCCTAAATGGTCAAACCCAATTCGGGCGGACCTCCCTCTGAACAATCGTTCCAAACCATTTTGGATTTAACAAGCCGTCTCTGTTGACTTAGTAACCTTAATAGGCGATAGCACTGCTTAACCTCTGGCGGTCATGGCGGCTAGGAAGCATAGCCTAGACATTAATGGCCAAACATGCCATAGGAACGCTGACCTTGGCTAGCGGACGCGAACAAGACGCTGGCGACACTATTAGAATGAACAACCGTCTCCGAAAATTATAATTTAATTGAGTGTGCACGCTTAAATTTCTTAATCAAAAGAAAAAAGGAAAAAAACAGGGGTAAACCGATGAAACCCTTGATTAACCTACACCAGAGAAAGTACACACCACTATGAGACATGTACATGGAAGGAAATACGTACGGCTTCTGCGCTTCCAAGTAGACCGCACGTCCTTGAAGTAGTCGCTACTTATCTTCTCCGCAGATTGACACACTATCAGGTATCATAGCTGGATGCCAGACGTTTCAAATGCTGGACCGAATGATCCCGTTTGAAATGACTGTTGGGGAGCGCATGCCTTGGCGAACAGCGACAGTTCACCATTTCTTTAGGAGGAAAGAACGAAGATTTGACCGAGATTTGCCCGTAGAGTGAAGACGCATTTGTTCATTCCCTATTTGTTTATTAGTGCTCCCTTACAACTCGTCTAATTCGCACCCAGTAAGCAATTTATGCTGAATAATTTACCATGCATGTTAAGTAGCCACGTACAAGATATAGTAGGTGGACTAACTCATGAAATGTCGGCAGCAATTCCGAAATGCGTTTTTTATTTAGAAAAGATTAATGAGGTAGTATTGTAAAACTGATCGTTATGCAACATAATTTTATAACATTTCAGTTGCCTCAGAATGCGGACTTTCGAATGAATTTCTTTTCGTCCGCTTGAAAATATGACACTGCAAAAACGATTACATAGGTAAGCATGAATTTTTCTCATTGATTTTCGTTGTCCCTAAACGTCCGATTATATTTCATGGAAAACATGCATAAACATGCTCATTCTGTTGATCGTTCGGCAGAAAAGCACGTCTTCTTCTAATTTTATTTTCGAAGGAGTGAAATAATTCGGTTTTAAAAAGGTTTCTAATTGTGGGACATTTAAAGACCGTGAAATGGCCGTTCTTAAATCGTCATGTCTCTACATTTAGCAATGTGTCTTGTAAAGTTAACAATGTGTATCAAATCCGCTGCTAAATGTTATGAACCCTACATGATCCACCTTTATTACCGTGGAGAAATGTGTGGTTTTCCGTGCGCGGAAAATATACGGCTGGTAGTTTGGAAACCCTGAATACAAGTGTAACGGTAGAATGGAGTCAACATAATTCGGATATTGGAATTTTTTTTAAAACCTAATTATACACTTCCTTCGAGTATAGCATTAAAAGAAAACGTAAAATGCTACCGAATGAACAAAAGGATGAATATTTTATGCATGTTTCTCATGAAATATAATTGGTCTTTTAAGGGCATCGAAAATCAATGAGACAAATACATGTTACCTAAGTGGCCATTTTCTACAAAGTGTAGTTTCTGCATGCAGCCGGAAGGAAGCTCACTGAAAAGCCGGCAACCTGCGGTGACTGAAGTATCAAAGAACTATAAGGCGGGCTGATTTCTTTTACGAACCTACTTAAGTAAGTTTTTCAAAACGAAAACACATTTGGGAATTTAGGTTAACATTTTATGAGTTAGCCCACCTACTGTATTGTTACTAACCAGGATATGTGAAGATATATTTATATACTCCGAAATTCTATTCTGGCCAACAAAAGAGGAAAACAAATTTAGACTATGTCAAACAGAATAGACGAAATACGAGATGCCTTCGGTTGGTCGCATTTCTATTCTTAGCTCCCAACCTGGTGTGGGGGGGACAAAACGGTGCGCTTTGGGATGCTGCAAGGCACCGTTGCTTATGTTAATTTAACGCCGATCCCAGTGAGTTATAGATTTGCAAGTGTGACCAGGATAGAAATGCCATCTGGACACATGTTTTGGTATCTGTCTCTTTGAATTGCAACCCTTGGGAAGTATTTAGATAAATATGAACTTTTTTGCGAACTTGGAGAGGACATATCACAGCGTCTTATGACAGTAAATAAGTGGATGAGCTGAATGATAAGCCGGCGAGTCTCCTTGAGTCTTACTTGAGACACGCAGAGGTTCACTTCAGCATAAACGGCCATTCAACCTTTGGCTAGCTCAGCGCTAACTACGGTCTCTCCTTCCCGTTTCAAGAAAATGAATTCCACCTTCTCCGACAATGCCAATACCAACTGTCCTGTTTTGTAGGTGGTTTCCCCTCTACAACAACCGCATGAAATTTGTAGGGCCTAGGAACCCTCTGAACTGGAATCAAGTCCATTCGTTGGATAATAAAATTACCTTCTTAACCCAGAAAATTCGACTGAAATGCTGCAGATATCACATAACTTCCCCTCCTACTCCTCCTCCTCCTCCTCCTCCTCCTGAATCCCTCTACACCAACACTTCAAATTCTTTCTATTTATACCGAATTTCAGAAACAAATGAATTAAGTTCACAATATAGCCTTGGATCTGAGAACGTCTTCAAAGGAAATCTCGCTGATGAATGTCCACATCCTTTACAATTTTCTTGAGGTAGAGTCAAGTAAAATGTAGGACGTCTGGCCGGTCTTTTGATTTTCTTGAAAAATGCATACGTTTTCCCCTGCAAACGAAATCAGGCACTTTCCACTTTATGCTATAGCTTCTCTCTACATTCCTGCTTACTTTCAAGCCGCTATACTTCTACGGCTGCATAACAGAAAACACGCATGGATGCGCGCACTTGGTACTTAGGGACGCATTTTACATGAAGAAAGCACAACTTCCGGAAGTGGTTTGCAGAAGGCGTAGAAATTGTTCCTTCCCTTATTATTACCTTGCTCTCCCTATGTATACTCTGCCCGACCCGGCATGGTCAGCCGTATTGTTTCTTTTCTTATTCCGCCCTTGCTCTACCCTTCTTCTTTCTCGCCTGACCACAAACTGCCATCTGCAGGACATTTTACGAGATGAATTCAGCAAATTTGACGGTCACCTGGGAGGATGAGCTCATGTTTCACGGTCTCCGCCCTTTCGCATGGGTATAACGAATGCCCCATGACGATGACTGTGTAAGGGTTGGTCTCACATCCTTGATCCGGACGTGATACGAATTGCAGCTTCCAATAAATGGGGATCAAGGATGTGAGATCAGCTTTAACCGCACACAATCATTTTAATCCGTCTGGTACCCGAATTCATGGAGCAATGAGAACTTGTTTATTCCGTAGCCGGGGCAGGTTACCGGGACTTGGCTGTTTGCTCATGTAGCTAAGCAAAGAGTCCGTTCGGGAAAGCGGAGGTACCGGGATTTTTTTTAAACGGGTGTCTATAGGGGAGCGTCTAGCTGAGTTCTGGACATGTGATTGGTTGGTTTCAGGACGAGGTCGGGGCGTTACGATAAAAAGGCACAGTGGTAACAAGCCAGGCCGTCGTACGCACGTGAGGCGGCGACAGTGTGCGCAGCCATGACTCATTGCAGCTGAACAAGAGGGCCGCAGTTCAGGCCAGAGGGGTGGCTGTGCGTCAGTAGTGTCTCCAGTTTAGCCTGGTTATGGTGGTCATCGGCAGACCAAAGAGGCGCCGTAAAAAGGAAGCCCTTGAGCGACTGCTACAACTGCCTGCTGGTCTTTCCATTGTCGATAGCAGGTATTTGTACCTCATGATTTGTTGTATGACGATGCAGTTCTGCAGATGAGCCGCACTAATCACAAAGGTTTTCTGGGCATGGACGCAGTATGCGACCTTACCGAGGGAACAAAAACCAGATTGTCATGTAATACGGGTTTTATGAGTTGGGCTAAACGGCGGAAAGGAGAAGGCAGTAAGATGTGGTTATTCAGCCGCACCTGGTGGACGCAATTCTGATAGGGGTTATGCACGTATTTCTTAACCACTCGAGGTAAAACCGCACATTCCCATTTACTTTTATTTTGCATGCAATTACTTGACCTCGTCGCCGGTGCGTTCCCCGCCCTACCTGTAAAAGCCCCTATTACCACCAGTCTTGTATTACTGGTAGCTGAGATCTGTTTACTCATGTACGACTACATAACCACATCTGACCGAGAAACGCCAAATATTGAGGTGGCATATTGCGTCCTGGGTCTGGATTTCTCAACAGCTACCTGCAAATGAGCATACACACCAGGAACCCGATCTCCGAAGAATGAAGAGGGTATCAGGATATCTGATATTGCGAACTAAGGTATAGCACTTATCCCAGTTCGTCCAGTTTATTTTCACAAAAATGGCAGATTACATTCCATCTAATTTCGAGAACGCGGAAGCATCAAATGTAAGTAGGCGAGGGCGCAATACGCCACGATGAGCTGGTTTTTGTTCTCTGAATGGGGCCGCATACTGCGACCTTGCTGTTTCAGGATTGCCGTTGTTGCCTCCAAAATATAACCTCGCATAACGGACACTCGGACAAAATGCTGATTTCTCAATGTTTCATTGCGCACGCGTAGGGATGTTTTGGAACACCAGCTCTGAATATGGAATATCAGTGTTGAGGAAAAAGACACGATCGCCGGGACAAGAGCTTTATTAGCCTGACGTTTCGGATTCCTGCTCGAATCAATCGTCTCTTCGCTTCTATTGACAATATATTTGGCCGCGATGCGCTCCGATCGGTCCGGCGATGGGAAACCTTCGCCCTTCGGGAGGCCTCCACATATTTACAGATCCGGTTCCTGCACAGGTGTCTCCACAATAATGTGTTGCCGAAATGTGTTTCATAAAAGCCTACAGCTAACACAGATTTGGCGAGACGAGCAGTATTTAAACATGGCAGAAGGATGATCCGAGTGCTCCTCCAAGATTGCCACGCGAGACTTCGCAAGTACCGTCAAAGGACAGACCAAGAAAAGACCAGATGCTGTGAGTTCATGGGTGAGATCGGTACAAATCTGCTCCTGCAGAGGATAGCTGAACAAGCCCGCGAACAGAGAATGATACGAGACCCAGCACTGGAGAACAAATTCCGAAAGCTGCCCAATCCAACGTTGCCCAGAAACGACAAACTGGTGCACAGCCTGTCGTCAAAGGAGCTGACGAAGGATCAGATGCAGGTTTTAAGGCACGAAGCTTCATTCAACACGACTGACGCCAAACCTGTTAACATGATTGCAGCAGTGGAATCAATCCTTGGTCAGACGGAGGCAACGGAGGAGACCACGAGCCTCATCCGACACCAAGTTTCGTCTCTCCCAATGGCCCTCAGGCCGCGGGAAGTGCTTTCAAAGGTCGAACTTGATGCGTTTAGAGAACTCAAACTTGGTCATCGATCCAGCGGATAAGGGGCGCTCCATGGTTGTGCTGGACAGGACAGACTGCCTTCAAAAAGCCAAAGGTTTACTGGAAGACCGACAGTTTTCTATCCCATGTGCAACGAACGCTGTAAAAGCGCTGACACCCAAAATAAATGCTACGTTGTTGGCCTTGGAGAACTCAGGTGCAATAACACCGACCGACAGACGCATGGCGAGACCCCAAGATACGGCTTTGGCCCGATTCTATGGCCTCCCTAAGGTGCATAAAGACGGCGCTCCTCTCCGACCCATCGTGTCGCTAAAAGGTACTCTAACGTGCGGACTGGCTAAGTGGCTATTCCGGCGTCTCAAGTTCCTGACCGCTGAGTCAGACACCACGGGCCCTTCGTCAGCAGAATTCCTGGAGAAACTCAAAGGGGTAAGCCTCTATCCAAATGAGGTTATGGTATCTTTTGATGTTACATCCCTTTTTACTTCTATTCCACAGGACCTGGCGATCGAGACAATCGAGCTGCTTCTACATAGTAAATACGATGAAACGGAGAATCGTCTTAGACGCGCCCAAGTCCTTCAGCTCCTGAAGTTCTGTATCAGGACGTTCTTCATGTTCGACGGGACAATCTACGAGCAGGTGAAGGCACACCAATGGGTTCGCCGATTTCGGGGTTCATCGCCGAGGCGGTCCTGCAACGGTTAGAGTCGCTGGTCTTCCAACATCACAAACCGAAGTTCTGGGGCCGGTATGTGGATGATACCTTCGTCATCATCGAACGGGATCAGGTGTTGACATTCCAAGAACATCTCAACGCCGTCTTCCCGGACATTCAATTTACGATGGAGGAGGAAGAGAACAACCAGCTGGCCTTCCTGGATGTCCTCGTATGCCGCAAGGATTGTGGTGGACTAAAGACCAAAGTGTTCAAGAAAGCGACAAATACGATGAAAGTACTGAACTTCAACAGTAACCACCCAATCAGCCACAAACGCAGTTGTGTAAGGACGCTCTATCGGCTTGTCGAAACGTACTGTAATGAGCCGGAAGACAAGATTACGAACTACAGTACCTCCGACGGGTCTTCAAAGCCAATGGCTGTCCGCGCAACTTTGTCAACTGGTGCATACGCAAAATGGACGAAAGGTCTAACCGCACGGGCACCAAAGTTTGGCGAGCGCTTCCATATGTCAAGAACGTTTCGGAAGCTGTTGGCTGCCTTCGCGCACCACTTGGGATTGGAGTTGCACACAGGCCGGAGGCAACCATCAGGCGTCAGTTGATGAAACCAAAAGACCCACTGCCACGCAAGAAACGTCTGGAGTCGTTTATCGGATCCGGTACAGTTGCGGACAAAGCAACTACGTCGGAGAAACCGGAAGACAACTCCAAACGCGAATGGCCGAACACGCCGGCTCTCAAGTTGCGGCTCATTCGACGGGTTCCGGCCACACATTCAAATTTGACGAGGCCGAAATTCTCGCAAGAGGTGACAACCGCGTGAGCCGGGAGCTGCTTGAGTCATGGTTCACTGGCCCCCAGTCTATTAACAAGTGCAATGCTCCTCCCATTCAATACACCGTGCTGAGACTTCGTCTAGGCGGAGTAATTGGCCACGCGGGGAGCGCACTGGTGAGCACTCTTCCCGACACCCGGGTCAACGCGTCAGATGGTCGAGCAATCATCACACCAACATCCAACTCACATGATGAAATTGCAGCAATTAACGTCGCGAATGTCGGCCATCACGCCACGTGCAACGATCTCTGATGAAGGGTGGGGGGAGCCGTGAATATGCGACAGCATGGCTACTGCATCCTATAAATACTGCAGCCGCATGTGCACAAACCATCCTTATCTGCTTATGTCTCTGAAGGTGGATTGGAGCAGGAATCCCAAACGTCGGGCTAATAAAGCTCTTGTCCCGGCGATCGTTTCTTCTCCTTCAAGACTGCCTCCTGGGACTCTTATCGACGAGACAATTCCGGGTAGCCTGGGATTATGAGTCAACATTGTTGACGTACTTGCTTCCTATTAGTAGGCGTGCTTTTATTTAGTTACATATTTCTGGCGTGTCGGCCGCGCGGGGGTGTAATGTATTCGACCTTGCTTTGGGATACCTTGTCTGCTGCTGTGTTGCGATTGCCATACCTCCCGCATATACTTACAGCTGCCAAATGGACGAAAGAAGGGCGGTTATGCTGTAAATTCCTTCATGTTATTGCTCACTTTCACATTCCCCCTCATCGGCCACTTAGCGCGCCTGCTACATTACTACGACTGGGTACTCCAGCTACGTTTGCTTGATTTGGCGTAGAGGCTCTGTCAGGATGAATTTCTCATTCTCTTTAACCGCCCCGAGAACGAGGCGCTGCAAGACTGTCTATATGGGTTCATTGCATTGCACCCCCCACACGGAAATCTTTAGTAAAAGGCGAAAGATTTAACCTTTGCGGATTGCGATTCAACACGCCTTCCATTATCCTTCTAATTGCGAGCTGCTTCAGTCGTGTTAACAGATCGCTACCCTTCACCCCCCTCCCCTTTAAGAAACAGCCCGGTTGTATTCGATCGCAGGAGGGGGACTCCCATACCGCGTTCCATGCGGCTACCGCGTGAGTTGGCTACGCGCGTAGGCGTTGGGTGCACATAATCGGTGCCGGTCTGCCCCGTCAGTGCACCTGTCCTTTCTACACACTTCAGGGGCTGCACTAGCCCTTCATGGCTTAGCCGTACAGACGTTAAACCCGGTTGCTGGCTTCCTGTGCGGTCTTATAAGGCCGCTTGCCGTTTGCTTTCTTGGCCTGCCGTACGGCTCACTTTCCCTCCCTACACCCAACCGCAGACGGCTTGGAACAGCTACCCAACCATAGGGTTTTGGCCTTGCCTTGCACTTTCACGGGCTTAGGTATCAACCCGGCCCTCGGGGTTTCTTTGCGGTCTCTTTCGCTCGCTTTCCCCTTGCGCTTCGGTCGATTTCGTACGCCCGTGTGGTTGGGCGGTTTGGTCGCCTTGTGGTGACCAGTAGGTTTGGCTCTCCTGTTATACGTACATAATTCATCGGTTTGACGGTCAGCGTACTTACGAAGTAGCCTTCCGATTGGTCATGATCGGCAGTTAGGGTGTTCATAGGTTTTCCATCAATCCCTTCAAATACTACGATTTCAATCCCCGTTGGCGCATTTTCGGCTTGGGTTATGCGACAAAAGGGAAAAAAGGTTCAGAGGTACAGTAAGGAATTCACTATTTCAATGCGGAGTATGAAAGAATTACAAACTGCTTCGGTTGTACCAGTTTTCAGTGGCCGAAATGTCAATTGCCTGGCCGTCCAGTTCTTCTCCCTGGCCGTTATTTCACTGGCTGCTGTTATTGAACTATGTGTACAACATCATTAACATCTCTCTGCTTACCTTTCCGGTCAGCTGCTAAATAGCTCGGTTTCCGAGTGCTCTTCTGCGACTGGATAGGCCTGAGCCACATGGGACCTTCGATAAAGCCAGGCGACTATCCTAAACACCGAACCAGTTCTCAGTGCCCTTTTGGTACCACATTTGTTACACCTAGGCAATGCATTATATTAATATTTTCGTGTACCTGAAGTCAAACCCGTCTGTGTGCTGCCGCAATATTCGCAACGGCATTGGTTTACGACAGCGACATCTGGCTTCCGTCGCCATGACTCGTTTAGCTTGTAATTATTGCACTAAATATGGGGACTGGATAATATACAGGATCTGTTCAATCTCCGATGGCATTATTAGCTTGCGGAGCGGCCTTACGTTTCTTCTTTGCCGTCACCCTTCTATAAGTGGGAACCGTTTGGTAATTATTGAACAAATTAATAAATACCGCTTCCGTCCTCCGTACTTTGCATTCATACTTACCGTTCTTCGGGTTCACTTTCCACCGCCCTACTTGTCGTTGGCATTTGACCAGGATTCATCATCAGCGGTAGTACTGTCTGGGGCACCTTAAACCGAATGGCCTTGGCCATGGATATATTGCTCCCATTGGTTACGGCTTCCTTTTAAATTTTCGGCACATTTTCACCTCAAAAAAACTTTATTATTTACTTTGTGAACCTCTTTTTTTCTTACTCTTCGATGGGTTCTCCTTTTCCCCCACCCCAAAAACCCCCCTTTCCCACCGATCCCGTAAGACAGGAACCTCTCATTAGCCTTGCACAGTCCAGGCTACACACAATTATCCGACCCTCTTATCTTCGCTTCTATTGGAATGTTAGTGTTTCCTTTCGTTTTCACTTACATTGCTGCCAATTTAGTAGTTTCGTTGTCGCTGGAAGAGTCTTCTGATGTAACTGTATTGATGGCGAACAGAAGATTCCTCCTGGACTACAGGATGTCCCTAACATTCACTAGATTCCGATGAAGTGTTATCCTTATCTTCCCGTCTGCCGTCTACACTTGACCTACCAGGAAGTGTGGCAATTAGCAATTAATTTTCTTCCTCCTCGGTAAATCCCATGCAATGAAACTTTGAGTTCAATCATTATTTCAAGATCATCATGTCTCTTAATTCTACTGGGTTCAATTTGTTATTGATGCACCCGGCCCAGACTGTCGGAGATTAAGAGGCGAAGATCGATTAGTCTTGTGTATACAGTACGCAGCAGGTTGCAATGACGATTGCGTAAGGGACCTATATCTGCCTGTTGAGGTTACTGCAGTAAACCAGAAGACAAGGCTACCTACTTACAGTATCTTTGACGGATGGTCATAGCAAATGGCTACCCACGGAACACTATTAACATGTATACGAGCAAACTGGGTGAAAGACTTAACCGTAACAGCCGCAAATTTTGGACAGCGCTCGCGCACGTTAAAAATTCCCGTATACGTTCGGACGCCTCCTCGTACCTTAATTCAATGAGAACATACGGACCGGAGTAACCATCAACCGTTATTTTACAAGGCCAGAAATCAGAAAAGGTCTGGAGTCGTTAGCAGACATGCCGCAGCAGAGGACAAAACAAATACGCCCGAGAGGCTAAAGGACTACACAGGACATGGATGGC